GGGCTCCCTGCCAGGGGCTGGGTTCACCGTGGTTACCGGAGTTTTCCTTCTTCAGACCCCTCTGTTTGAGTCCTTGCCGTCGCAGAGGGCCTGCCATTACCCCCCTCCCCCTCTGCCCCGCAGCAGGGAAACAGCGGGGAGCCCGATAGAGTGGAGAGAATGCGCCGCTGTCATTTCCAGCAGTCAGAGCCGCTCTGTGTTATGGATGCTGACTATGAAGCAGGGAGCACAGTGCCTGTGGAATAGCAGGCCGCATAACTTTCTCAGTCTTGACTGAGAAAGTGGCCTGGGAATTCATAAGGAGGAATTAAAACAATCCTCAGAGATAGAAAACAGCCTTGCAGGTGTTGTTTGTTAGTTTCTTGTTTTCCTGCAAGAGAAGGTCGAGGGGTGGTGTACACCACTGACCAATGATGGTGATGTGTTAGTTTACTAACCAATAAGAGTTTTACTTTTCTGTACTTTCACGTATCGGTCTATAAAGAAGATCGGAGGTAATAAACCGAAGAGAAATTCTCTGTTTGATTCTCAAGAGAGTCTGTGTCGTTCTTTCCGTTCCAAATAGAGCGACACCGTCTTTCTCTGGCCCCGGCACGGGAAGGCGCGGGAGTAGTCCCGACAGGCGAGCTAGCTCCCAATGCGCGCGGGAACTCCAGCCTTTGTTCTCCCGGTCCCTGTTTGAAGTTACTGCCTCTGGTTTCCATGCATTTTCCGGTTCCTGTGTCCCATCTAAGGGAGGCCGGGTGTGTACCTTTACCCCCTTCTCCCCCCTGCGCTTCCAGGCTTACTCTGTACATCCCACGCATGATGTTTCTCATTCAGAGGAATGTACGTCTGTTACTACCTTAGCGTGTTTAACCTTGATGTGTAGAAAGTGTGTAAATTTCCTTTCTGTGGAAAATAATTGTTTCTCCCTGAAATTCTCACCCTCCGAAGAAGCTCTGTTAGAAGAAGCACCCCAGACCCCAAACCTTTGTCTCATTCTCTGGAGTTCCCTTCACAGTAATAAATTGTGGAACATAACCCAGCAGAAGGATCCCCCGTTTCTTTACTTGTTCGAGAGACTTGAGTTCCAAAAGTAAATTGGTGAGCTCAAATCCTAAGCTAAAACTGAATAAAAGGTTTAGCTAAAACTCCTCCTGGGCTCGAGCTGGAGTGAAGAAAAAACCCATCTCTGAGCTAGCCAAGAAACTCTGGGCTCAGGTTCACAGCTAACCAAGATGCAGTTCAACTCACCATCCTCACTTCCACAAGGAGTGTTTACAGGTTCACTTTTTGTTTTTTTCAGATAAGCTCTACAGTCATTTTACCACCCTAATGACTTCTAAAGAACACTGATCTACAGGACAGTGGTAGTCAAGAACCATAGTTCAGTCTTCTCAGCATTCGGGGACATAACAAAAGACAAGAAGTCAAATTAGGCATGATCCTACAAGCCTGGGCTGGGGCATGCAAACACTTTGGGGACCTCCATGCCCTCAAGGGCAGAGTACAGCAGACTAACAAGGCACTTAAAACCACCCCCCTCACATTGCATCTTTTCTTCACAGCTTATCAGGATTTAAAGTTAGCCCTCCTAGAGACAAATACTCAATCCTACACACCCATGGTTAAAGAAGCAGATGCTGCATGCGGAACTAGAAAGCAGCCATGGCAGGCTTTGGAAGGATGAGCAAGTAGCTGTAACTAATTATACATGCCTCTAATACCTGCAACCGAACAAAGTCATGCTGGTGATGGGGAGAACAGCTGGCTGCTGTATCTAAATAAGCCTCATTAACATAACAGTAACTGACAGCAGCAGTAGTAACATACATACACCCACACTCAGTGTTGATATTTACATGTGTTTTTCTATTCATATACCAGTACACTTCAGAAACAAGACGTGAGGAGAGCAAAATATCTATAGCCTTGCCACTAAATTAATCTGTTTCTACTTCTACCCAGACCACCTCTATTATTCCCATTTCACCTTAGAAACAAAAGCAGGGGTAGTTTGAAGAACAGAAGCCCCTAAATCAAAGCTGTGGCATAACTTTTCTGCACTTCACTGACATTTAAACTACTTTTTTGAGATTATCTTATCAAAGCTTTGAGCAAAAGTACTACATAGAAAAGCAGGATCTGAAATCCAAATCCAAGAGAGAGCTGGATGGCAGTGAACCAGGGGCCAGCTGCCTGTCAGCTCTCTCAGCAGCAGGGCATCACTGCTCAAGGCCAAATAGGAAAAGGACACAAGTTTGTCATTAGTAATGAGATTCTGCAGTGCAACCTTGTGCTGCCAACTCTTGGTAATTTTACTACCCTCAATGCTGTAAGGAAGATCTAGACCTAGGAATTACCTGTCACCCTGCATTTAAGATTACAGCATATAAGCAACACCACCTCAGATAAAAGCTACAGACTAGAATTTTTCTTCCTTCTACACACAGTCTCAGCTTTCTCTTCTTCCTCTTCCCTTCCTCACTTGTTTGAGGGGGTGAGGGGAGAAAGTCAAGATAAAACATTAGTTGGAGCACCAATGAAATTCTTCTTCCCTCCACTCTGTATCACATCATTCTGCCTTCCTCTCACCTGTCTTTCACAGATTTTACTACCAACTATTGCCTGCACAGTGATATTTTAAGTTTCCTTTAAAACTATTCTAAACTGAACCTCAGAAAAGAATTGAGATAGCCAGTCTTATACTTTTGTACACTTATGACTGAGCAGAGTACTTAATTCTGTTTCTCAGCATACAACAAGCACAATCACAGCTCTAGAGACATTGTCAGGTAAGACCCTCTGGTGTTACTTGTTCTACTGCATGACTAAAGTTATAGTGTATAACTTTATATAGTGTTGAGGCCATGGAAGCCTCTTTCTTCTCATGGTTCTTCATCCAGGTAGAAAAGGAGTCTTGGCTTAGACACGTACTTCACCTTGATTATCTCCTGCTGGCAGCTCCACTAATAGTTTGCTCTGTGGTCAAAGCTCCAGTAGCTCAGGGATTTAAGCTGTCAAATATCAAACACCTGTACAGATGGAAGCTGCCCGGCCTCTATGGGCCCCTGCTTCAGTATGTGATCGTCTTAACAATGAAGCGATTTTCCTAATTTTGGGATTTTCCCTAGGGCAAATTGTGCCTGTTGCACCCTTAAGGGCCTGAGGTGGATCACAAGTAAAACAAAATCACCAAGAAAACCCAACCTGTCAGACAACCGTACAGGCTTAGACCCATAATTTGGTATTAAACAGATCCTCTTAGTGCTTTATTGTAGAAATCTGTAACCTCAAAAGCTTTTAGCAATTGGAAAGAAACTAGACAGTGTATTAGGTCCATCATCAGATACACTGCTCTTTCCTTGACCTCTGCAGCTCACAATGCCAGCTTTGAACCTTGCTCTCCCTACAGCAGTAGCCTCCTGCTGCCACCCCAACACTGTAACCTCCATCTCTCTCCATGAGAGATTGCACCTCTGTCCCCAGGTCACCAAACCAATCAGACTTCTCTGTCCATCATCCCTTCCCTAGCCCTTTCCCTTTTCCCCATTGCCTCCTCTTGCTCTTCACACAGATTATATTTTGCTTTCCCACGCTCAACGCTGTGTCACAGCCAACCCTACAATTCCCCGCCAGGGCGCTGCTCTGGTTTTCCCACGGCACTACGTTTGTTTGCCTTTACAGACACGCGTATTATTTCCTGTGGGTGCCGGGGGGAGCATTACCTCGAGGACAATGCCCTCCCAGTAGCAGCGTCTCCGCTTCTTCCCACCACTCCGTTCGCTCTAAGCCCACGCCCGCCCGTCGAGACACCCTGCGGGGCCGCACACCTCCTAGGCGGGACCCACGCCCAGAAAATTCCCCACGTTTCAGTCCCGCCGTCCCCGGCGGCCGCCGCTTGTGCTGCAAGTGTTGGCGAGGGTGCCCAAAAAGTGACGGGTTTAAAACTTCTGTCTTCTCTTCGAGGCGCGTCCGAAGCCGCGGCTACAGCAGCAGCGAGGGGGAGCACAGCCCCCACAGGACGCCCTGAGGGCGCCGGCCGGCCCGGGGCAGCCCCACGGGGCAGGGGAGGCTCCGCAAGGCCCCCGCGCCCAGCGCAGGCACTCACCCTCCTCACCGGGAGCGACCTTCCCGCGGTCGCCAGCAGCAGGACAGAGAAGCCGAGCGGCGAGAAGGGCATGTCCGGGAGCGACCCCCCATGCGCGGGGGCCCGGCAAAGCTTCAGCTCCCACTCCCCACAGAAGCTCCGCAACTGACACAGCGGAGCAGCGGCAGGCAGGCAGGCAGGGGGCTCCGGCGGCCGCTTTTGTAGCGGCGGCGGAAGCGGGGAGGGGCCGGCCCAGGTACAGCCCGGCCCAGCCCAGCCCAGCCGGACCCGGCCCCGCCCGGCAGACATGAGGAGCCGTCGCGGGGGCGGACGGGCGGGTGTCGGGAGGCTGCAGCGCCAAGGATTGTGTCGGGGAGGGGAAGGGAAAGAAAAAAGTGGAGGCAGAGCCTCTACGATCCTGCTCCCCACCTTTCCAACTTCTTATTTTCTTTTATTTTACTCTGAATCTGTTCAGGCTTGGGCATTTTGGTGACCTTCATGTCGTTCGTGATGTCCAAGTTTTATTAGGTTTAATAACAGTGAATGCAATTATCCATTTATAACCTGAATTTGCAGAGCTGCACACAGAGCAGATCAGATCTTGGTTGAAGGTCTTGAAGACGGGTCGCAGGTTAGTTCTGGCACTACCATGATGTGTAAATCTGGAGGATTTAGAATACTTATTTTCCTAGCAAAAGAAGGCTCTGAGTCTGCTTTGTACTAGATTCATATTACTGTTCTTACTTACTTTGCACTGACTGGTAGAACTGCACTAAAGCACCTATATTTGGTGATATTCTATGCCAGAATCTGGAAGAAAGCCATGAGAGCTAGAAGGAAAGCTCAAAATTGAACCAGGAAGTGGGCAAAATATTTCACGTTGGTCAGTTAGATGCAGCTATAGAATATAAACAAGTTAATAGCTTAAATGTTAATGATGTGTATTAGTTTTAAATACAACACAGCATCAGTTTAATGCTTTAAAAATGTAACTAGTTCGAGCATTGATGCTGTAAGATCATGAAATCGTGAAATTCCTCAATGTGAATTGCCAGGGCAGCACTTACGCCTCACCGGCTAACTCAGAAGTAATCTGCCATGGTGGTTTGATTGACTGAAGGCTGAAAAGATATTTCCTTTAACTTTTCTGAAATAAGAAAAAATAAAGATTAAAAATAAATAAATAAATTACTACCTTCAGGCCAGGCAAAAGAAACCTTTAAATAAAGAGCAATAAATCTCTTCCACTTGGACAGCAGTGCCAGCCTTAGCATAGTGTACCTTTTTTACATGCTGATTTTTACTGCTCTTTATTGTTTCTGCACTAGGCTTATTAATGAAATTCTCCACTTAAGACTTCTGCTTCTGAGATGATTCCCAGCACCTGTGTGCAGTAGAGGCCAGCTGCTTTTGCCAGACCTTAGTAGACTCACGCCTCCATTGAAATGCCTCATCAGGGCAGTGACATATATCCTGTCGGAAGCAGGAATTTTACTTTGGAGAATAACTCTGATTTCCAGAAATAATCCAAGGTAGCTCTTCAGGCATGATGACCTCATACCAGGGGATGATGACGAAACAGCCAGGCAAAGACTAAAGCTTAACTATCGCAGCCTACACTGTGTACCCTCTACCTTATCCTTGATGACAGAGATGTGCATGCCTGATGGCAAGGAAAGATGAGTTGGCTGAAGGAGGAGGTGCTGTGGAGATTGAATGGTTCTGTTTAGGCTCCAAATAACACAGAGAACAGAAAAAAAAGTTATATAACCGGAACTCTGAAGGACACCATGGCCAAAAAACCCATTCTTGCCTTTATTAAAGGACATTTACATATAAACAGGCAAATTCTGCATATGGTAATAAGCTCAATGAAGTACATGCTGCTGCATACATGACTATATTACTCAACTCCCACCTTAGATCATGATATACAGAAGGAGGAGAAGGGGTATAAGATTGGACTGTGTACAAGCAGGGTAGAAATATCGCCTGGTTAGGAAGAAGGCCCACAAGGGCCTTGGAAACCAATGGCGGGCTACTCTATTCTCCTCTCTTCTCCTTCCTCCCAAGCAAGGATGCCTTTTTTTGTAAGCTTCTGCACACAATTATTATTACTATTATATCTCTATTGCATCAAGTGAATTTATCAACCTCAGTTTTGAATCTGTATTTCTATTGCTTCATTAAACCACACTATTCATGGATTTGTGATTGCACAAGTTCCTATCCAACACAGCCAGACCTACAGGGTTGAAACTGTGATATTTGTGAATCTGTGCTTGTGGAAGTTCCTACTGAACATGACCAGACTTAGGGCCAAGTTGGTTATAATCAGAAATCAACCCCAGCTGCACTCAGACCCTCTGATCCCCGAGGACTTGCTGGAACACAAGGAGTTTAATTTCTTGCCGAATTTCTATACACTTAACAAAACACAGACTAGTGTTATCTATATGAATAAAGGAAAAAACCAAAGTAGATCAGAGTAAACTCTGAACAGATGCATTTTCACCATACCCATTAAGAAGCTATTATCACAAGACTAAACAAATACTCTTGACTGAAATAACTGTATTAAAAGACAGGTAATTTTCCTAGAGTTGGAAAAAGTATTGAATAAATTCAAATCTTTTCTGTGGGAAAATATTGTTGAAAATTGTCTCTCAAACCTGGGTCCATTGGATTTTTGTTATATTTATTCATGTTTTTAATATTATTAATATTTAGCTTGATCTTTTATCGATGATTATGTAAGAAAAGAACAGTTTGAAAATAAATCAATCAGTAAAATGACTCTGTTCAAATTTGAAAGGAGCTATGATCCAAAATACAATGCAGTGAATTGATGAAGCTTGTTCAACTTCAGAATTTTGTTTGTTGAGGCAAGCACTTCTTTTTCTGTAGCTGAAAGACTGGAGATACTATTTAAAATGCAGGACTTTGTAACTGCTCTCTTGTTCCCTTACCTTCCAGCTGGACCAGACCTCTCATGTATTAAGGAGGAGCTGCCTTGCAGTTACACTGCAACACAGGGATTATCATCCTTCTATGACCATTAAAGCATTCTTAATGCAATTGACTATGTTTTGAAGACAAAACTGCATTTTGAAAAAGTCCAATGTCTCTTTCAATAATCTCCCCTGATAATCCCTTTCTGTGGAGGTGGCATAAACATAACTGCATAAATACACAAAGCCTTCTCAAGGGTTTGGGCTCTCTGCTATCTGAAAATTATCACCACCGGACTTGTATATGCAGAAAGTAACATCCCTGTCCCATGAGACTGAATGCTTTGTCTCTGAAACTTTCTGAAAGGAAAAGTCTGTGTCACAGAGAAATTGTGTATTTCTGCTGTGACATTTGCTGAGTAGCAGACATTTTCCTAAGCTGCCATTAGGCAGTATCCTAAAGAATGTTATCAGTTTTAACTGCAAGTTATGCACTTCATGCTTCTCCATGACCATGACTTATACTAGCTTTTATAAGCATTATCTTTCATAATAACTTTGTTTGGGATAGAGATATACTCTTGGATCTCAGTGCAAATAGATCTGAACTCTTAGTAGAATTTTATTGCTTTCAACCTTGTACATGTGTATTTAAAGTTGAAGGGTACAGGCTTGCTGACATTTGGAGAATTGAGTGTTTTCTGAGACTCAGGATTTAAAAACTGGAGGGAGTGGCTGCCCTGTACAATGGCTGTACAAATGTTGTCCAAGTGCCTGAAAGGCAAGAGCCATTTGCTGTTGTATTTTATACCTGTAGTGTGCTGCAGCAGTGAATATTCTTTGGCTCATTTTTTTCTCTACAAAGCTAGGAGGATATTGAGAGACCACCAGCTATTCACCAGTCTTCACAGAAGTAATCGTGAATGCCATTTATTTTCATCTTTAGCACACCTTTTATAGGGTTCTACAGGGTCCACAGGCAGAACAAGCTACTATTGGCTAACACACACAGTTTACATTTTTTCTTCTACACACAAGGATATTGTTTTGCTTTACTCTCTCTTCTGCATGAAGGTTTCAAGGACTTTAGCCTTTAATATCACGACTTATTTCAAAGGCTGGTTTGTGCATACAGGCCTTTACTAATATATAAAATATATCAACAATTCCCCCTTTCTCTTTTTGCACAAACCAGACTTTGGATAAGATAACATACAACTTAGACTGTCATCCCAATTAACATTATAAGTAAAGTCCATCCCCCTTCTAGCACAAGAGACCTCAACCATCTGGTGATGCCCCAGCTGGCGAACCAGCTTCCAATGGGATCACTATCTTCTTTCAGGGCATGTAACCCATCCTGTAGCTGATGTAATTGCTCATGGATGGAAGCTGAATGATCAGTAAGATTCAGACAGCACATGCCTTCAAATTCCTCACAACCATGTCCTTGTGCTAAGAGCAAAAAAATTGCAGCTCGATTTCATAATACTGCATGACGTACAATACTCACATCGGCTGAAAGCTCACTTAACATGGTGGATGTTAAGTTAAATTCTTCCTTAGTCTAGCAAGCGAGCCTTTTTAGAGTTACTAGGCCTTAATTCATTCAGGCTTCGCTTTGACTGTTTGATGTTCTTCATTTTGCTAGCTATATTCAACAATTGATGTAAGCTTAGGTGGAACAAAATTAAGTTTCCCAAGATAACAGGGTCTTCTATGTGGACTAGCAGGAATCTCATTCCATGCTCTATCTATCTATCTATCTCTACAGATTAGGAATATGGAACTAGGTAATCGCTTTGGTAATTGTCCTGTGAGATTGCACCGTGAATAAAGGCTTTACTTTCAATGGTAGTAATGAGATCAGCTATAGGGCTGACTGCAGCTCAGTGCCGCATTACTTTGTTAGAATGACTTTTTGTTGGGGGTTCAAACATTATCCATCCACTGAGGTATTGGTGGAACTTAACAAATCTAATTCTTCTGAGGGTTGTAACATTGAGAACTTTGGTAATTTTTGCTTGCCAACAGGCTTCAAGTTGTCTTAATGTGAAGCCAACAGTGCGATTGCACTCTTGCAACATTGCAAATCGATTCAGTCGAGTCTCATTACTAATTAAACCTTTAAATGCTGGAGGATCCCATTCAGGGACTCCTATGAGACAGGTGCGAAAGGATCTCCAGGGGTGGCTAGGCTTAGACACATTGACCTTTGGC